GAGGGCCAGCGTTGAGGGCAGAGCAGAGCCAGTGTTTGCCCAGGGTGGTGACTCGAAAACCACCGAGGGTCTGTCTTAGCAGTGTCCCCCCAAAAAGAAGAAAACTAAGATTGTAAATTAGCATCTTTTAGTTCCCAAAACAGAAAGTGCACCCATGTTTGGGTACAAAATTAGAATGATAAATGCCTTTGAAGAGGGCTCTTGGCCAAAGCCTGACATGAGTGGATGTGGGGCCCCGCTGTGGCAGACAGCTGTGATTCCGTGCATTCTTTCAGTAATAGTACAAGCGTGTTTCAGTCAGGTCCTCCATTCATGTGGTCCAGCCCCGCAGAAAGGGGGGGGTCGGCGAGGGGTTCCTTGGTGACTTAGCAGCCCCGCGTGTGGTCAAGCTGGTGAGGAGGCGGGGCTCCTGTCTGAGAAGGCAGGTACCTGTACTTTGGCAGGTGGACTGGGTTCCTTTCTTGCTTGATCTCTGACCTGACGCTTCTTAATCATGTCTAGCCCTTAGATTATTAACTCGTTCTGGTCCAGGCAGACTTTTGTGTGTGACCTGGCGAGGGCTCTTTCTACTTGGCGCCAGCCCGTAGCACTGTAGGCTTTTTAAAGTCAGTACTGTCCTCCCCGGTTTTAAAAATCTCTAAACAGAGAAAGTGATTGCTGAAGCCTGCTGTTTATCTTTCAGAATATGAATCTGAATGAGAGTCTTTTTCTAAGAGAATTGAATTTGGTTAGAAAAGGTTTCACAAAATGCTCCCCAGTCTGTTATTGGCTTCTTACTGACTCTTAAAGGTTCTTTTTCCCTTTTTCTCTTCTTTTCTTTTTTACGAAATATACTGACTTCTATATGTTTTAGGATTTTTGGTCGGTGACCTCGATTTTGATCCCTTTAAATACTATTTTTGTTGTTTTACCTAGAATATTAGAAATTACCACTAATTTACTTGCCATTGATGGAAAACCAACCATCCTTAGCATGTAGGAGATGGTACGTACCCTGTTCATCCTTCTCCTTGTACTGCCTGGGGGAGGGGCATGCTCCCTTCCAGGCATTTTTCACCAGCGAGGGCAGGTGTCCCTCAGTGTCAGGCCCTGTTGTCGTGTTAGACACATTTGTGACTAGCAGGTTACATATTAGGATCCACTTTATAACTTTTTCTGGCCTACATGTAGCTGTTGAGTTTTGGCATATAATTCTTTGGTATAGATTTTAAAGCGTGCTAACCAATCGGGAATGTTGTACCTTTAAGGAATGACTGAAGGAGGGGTGGGGTGGCCCAGCCCGGCAGTGGTGGGGGTGGGGTGGGGGGTTTGCTCAGCAGCAGGCAGGGGCTTCATTCCTGTTTTCAAGTTGCCACAGGGAGGGCACAACGTGTTGCTTTGCAGCAGGCCCCTCCCCAGCCCACTCTCTACGGGATGGCCACTACTTGAGGGACGTAGTTGGGGCAAAGGGGTTGATAGGACATTTTAGAGACTCGTTTTACCCATGATCATGGCCAGCCTTGAATCTGGACCAGTAGCTGCATAGCCTGATGCTGCAGCCGTGGCCAGCACTTGGCTCTCACTGGCACCTTCTGGGGCTGTCGGACGACACAGAAGCACCCAGGTTAGAAGGTGAAGCACAAAGACCGTGTGTGAGCTGGAGATCTGTGTGTTCAATGATTCAGACCTAACCCTAGAATTTAGGGGCAGCTAGGATGGTTCTAGTCAATGTCATCTAGAAGGGTCGCTTTAATAAAAGTTATTCTGAACTGTAGTATTTTAGGTGATGAATGACTGATTTAAAAATTATTTTAATTCCAGTTTTAATATTTCACTGTGATGTTAACTTGGAGGACCTGTCTGAGATTAGTCTTTTGATTTTAAGCTCATTAAATCTGCTGAGCACAGGATATTTATCATGTGTAAATCCAAAATACTGTGTGAAAGTACTTATAGTTATTTCTTCCTTTACAAAAGCGTAACTTAAACATGAAAATAATGTTGGTTTATAGAAATATTTATTGTTCAAGGTCTGTAATTGTATTTCAAAAATGATGTGGTATTCAACTTGTGAAGGGATTTGTTTTGTCAAAAAATTTTACAATCACTGTGTATACCACCGTCCGAGGCGTAGGGGCCCTTTCCCATCACAGCAGAGAGGACTGGGATCTGCATAAGTCACCCTAAATGGCTACATTGTTTCTAGAAGTTGGTTCAAATGTGTTCACTAGGTTACCTTATATTGATTAATATCATCTTGAAAAATTCCTGTGATACATGTTAAGGAGACAGCATTCCCTGCCCATAAAGTAATGTATTTCTAAGGCAAATAGGCAATTGGATACTATCACATACTGAGTGGGGAGTAGAGGAAGTATTTTCAGACTCAAGAAAACTTTGAAAAGTCAGGAACTAAGCTGCTTGGAGATCTGTGCTGCCAGCGTGGCTTTGGTGGAGTCGGGAAGCGCCGGGAAAGTTCTTTACAGAGTCTGTGTCCGTTCAGTTCCTCCATTGTTCTTTTTCCAAATGCATCCTACTGGATATGGAATAGACCGTAGATGTCGTAGACTGAGATTTGGGACTGTGTTGGGACCATTCAGGTGAATGTGTCGCTTTCACAAACGGCATCTCCGAGTAAGTACCGTCACCTGGTGCACGTGGAGCCTGCAGCTGGAGTAAGGCGTGCTGGTGTGGTGCCCTGCGTGCTGTGTTCTTCTTGCGGGTGGTTTGCTGAGCACAGAGCCGTTGGACCCCTCCGACTGTGTGCTAGTTGTCTGTCCGGTCGCTGGGAAGGGGTGGGGTGGGGTAAAAGTCGCCATCTCCTGCAATCTGTGTCATGGACTGTAATATTGTAAGGTCTGTATTCTGTATGTGTATCTTAGACCCCAATCAGGAAACAAGCCTCATGTGTGTCTTTAACATTTATATTTCCATTCAAAATATGTATTCAGTGTTTATTTCCTCAAAACAGACTTTGTTAATTTAGGAAATATCTCCAAGTGGAAACGTGCTAACTTTTTCTGTAAATCTTAAATAAAAGGTGCTGTTCCTTTCTTTGATCCAGGACTGGTCTGTGTTTTCTGTCTTTCTCTCCATGCAGTTTTTCTTTTTTTTTTTTTTTTTTTCTTTTTTTCTTTTTAAAGCTTTCAATTTGTTCCAGGCACAATGAGGGAAGAACATGGGTTGGTGGGTAGGGCACTGGGGCTCTCTCCCCTGGGCCCATGTTGACGGCTCTTTCTTTGGGCCTCGGTTCCTCCGTCAGACGGTTCAGCCTTTGGCTGCTCTTTGAGTGGGGCTGGGCCAGGAGGTGTGGCTGCTCTTCCTGATGCCCCCAGGGGCCCCCCAGCGCCCAGTGGCGTCTTGCCTCGAGAGCTCAGCACCCCGTCCCCCTCCCGTCTGTGATTCCGGATCCGACGGACATGTTAAAAATTGGGGTTTGAATGCAGAGTTTTTTTGAAGTTGCCTTCTTTCTGAATGTTAAATGTTAAAGAAGTAGGGGGTGAGCTGAGAGGGGCTCCCTCTGGCCAGCTTGGGGGGGGACCCTTGCTGTGCGAGGACCCCTGTAATGTAGTATACATTCACGCCGCTAGTTCCATCTTCCTGGAAAAGGTGAGGAAATGAAGCTTAAGAGGCTGCTTTCTCCGAAAACTGTCTTGTTAAGAGATGTGTCAAGCGTAGAGTAGCGAGGCAGGAACGGTGGGCCCACACACCTGTCAGCCCTGCCACAGAGGCTGGTCCGACCCAGCACGTCCCTCACACATCTGTGCACTCACGCCAGTTCTAAGTCCGTGTTTATTGGGTATTTTCCTTCTGCTCCCTGTCACATCAGTGAGCTCACTCTGGAAAATGTTCATTGATAAGACTACAGAATTGGGTGGATTGGCTGATGGGGTTTGTTCTGTTCTGTTTTGTTTCAGTGTGGCCCGACTTTAATTTCTAGCTTTGTGTTCACTAGCAAACAGCAGGCCTATAACATGATTACTTGTCGTGATTATCAAGGTGTATAGGAAATGTAGTTTATACTTTTGTTGTGTTGAAAAATTCAGTTTTCAACATTCATTTACCTAACAGCAAAGGAACACTAAATGTGTTTTTAGTTTTTTTTTTTTTAATTTGAATTTAGTATATAAGAAAATTTTCTTACTAAAGATTTATGGATTTCTATGTAGAGATTTATTATTGCCGCTCAAACGCGGGCAAAGTGTTGTGTGCCATGAGGGTTAGGGTTAGCTCGGGGGCTGGGTGATTTCTGATGATGAAGGGGAGGGATGAAATACAACTGGGGGCATGGTCCTTTGGTTTGCTCAGAGATTCCACATTTTTCTCCCAGGCCTTTCTCTTAGACTCACCTGTTAACAGAGTCGGCAGGTTTTATTTACCCTGCCTTTTCCCACGTGAACCTTCCGGGGAGAATAGGCCACAGGAGGAAGGCGAGAACAGGACGGTCAGTTAGTTACGGGGGTGTGATAACTCCTGGAGCACTGATGCTGGGGCAGCACTCTGCGACACAGACACACTTCCAGAGTAGCCCGCAGGCTCCAGAGCAGCCACAGTGAGACAGCAAGACCACGGGACAGAGGCTTACCCTTTGACTCTGCACTTTGATCCTTTAAAAAATTCATTAGGTATTAATCTGTTTCTCTTACTTTAAAGTAGTTGGAACTTAAAGAGACTGGGTAAGAAAGGTCAAGATTCTCAGTCCCAGAGCGCACCTTAGGTCACCTACTGGAGCAAATTGGGTTTTCGTCAGAGTTCCTCTGTCGGGAATGCAGAGAGATGTGAAATTTTGTGCCTTTTCTACAGAAATGTCACTAAATGTCGAGGAGGGTAAAGTCCATTCCTGAATTTCTACACAGTTCAGTGCCATCACAAGAAACAGCTGACACTGTACATTTGCGACCAGTAGCTGGCAGTTGGGGACAGGTGCTGACAAGGCCTGTGTGTGAGGTGACGCGGGTGGGCCGTGTGAGGCCGCCACTCTCCGCGACTAGTGAACTGTCGTCCGCCTCCTTCACCTCCAGGTCTCAGACGGCCCCGGAGACGAGCCCTTGGAATCCCCGGACGAGAGCGCAGATGAAACTCAGACCGAAGTGTCCGTCTCATCGAAGAAGTCTGAGCGAGGAGTAACCGCCAAAAAGGAGTACGTGTGTCAGGTGAGGGGAAGGCGGTCGTTTGATTTGTCCCTGGACCCGGTCCCAGGCCACATCTTCACTCTTTCCTCGAACCCCACCCAGCATCCCACTGATTTTTCTTTTGAAGGCGTGGGGTTGCCAGCAGAATCCTGGATTAAGTGCCCCAGGGAGGGTCCTGCATCCACGCACAGGCTCTGTCTTTTCTGTTACTGACTTACAGCCGTCCTGTGTAAGAGACACACGTTTGTACGTGCATGCTTTCTGAGGCGTCTGAAGCCGGGGGCGTCACCAGCAGCACTGTGGCCCGCCGGGGCCGGTCCCTTACCCACTCTGTGACTGGGCCTCCTCTGGGAGATGGAGGCCGCAGGGAATCCCCTGGATGAGTTTGATTTATGGTGATAGAAATGTGTGTGAGTTCTCTCGATTTTCACATCTGATTCTAAACCTCTCGAGTGTGTCCTGTAGGGTTTGGGTGCCGGGTGTGGCTTTATCGCTGTCCCCTTTCTGCCCTACAGCTGTGTGAGAAGACAGGCAGCCTCGTGCTCTGTGAAGGCCCCTGCTGCGGAGCTTTCCACCTTGCTTGCCTCGGGCTCTCCCGGAGGCCAGAAGGGAGGTTCACTTGCAGCGAATGCGCTTCAGGCAAGTTCTCTTGCAGCTTTTCAGCCATACTTCCCGCCACAGGCAGGCCTGTGAGCATCCCCTTCCAGCCGTGGAGTCTTCCTCCGAGGCTCCTGCACAGAGTGCGTTGGTGCACTTTCACACGTGCATCCTGACATGTTACTTGTCTTGGAGACCCTAGTGGAGGACAGCTGCTTCCCTGCCGGTCTCTGTGGCGCCCCACCCCCGCAGGCTGGCCCAAGCCCTGCTCTGTCTGAGGTGGCTGGTGTGGGTGCCACGGTGCCGTAGGGCCAGCGCTGCTAGTACAGGTAAGCTAGTCAGTCCCGGAACACGGGCTGCTTTAGAGACACGGCATGAACCTGAACTTCGGTTTCAACAGAAAGAATAGCTCCATGCTCTTGCCTGAGCGGCCGTCAGCACCCAGCAGCACAGTCTGGGGGCTGCTGGGAAGACAGGCCGTTCCGATACAGCTCCTCCTGTCCATGGCCAGACCTCAGGGTCTCCTGGCTCTCGTGGGAGCATTGTCCTAGGTTAGGAAGACACCCAGAGTCTTCCAGAGAGTTCCTCCGATCCCAAGCCAAGGCTGTCCGATGCACCAGTACCCCGCTTCTGGAGGCACAAGCCTGCCTATGGCTATAAGTGATTCTTCACCGTACTTGGTTAACTGCTCTCAAAAGGGAGTGCCTCCTTTTAAGCTTCTGGCTACTTCGAGTGGGTGTTCCTACCTAGGCTGCCTCCTACTCAGACCTTCTTGTCCTCCAGGGGGAGCTGGAGCCCAGTTCATAGCAAGGTAACCCTTGATGGCTGGACTTCTTTGAAGCATGCTTGGACTAGTCAGCAAGGTCAGAGACAGAGCCAGAGGCCTCAGCAACACGGGCTGCCTCTGACAGAGCTGCTGGAGTTTAGTGGCTTAGGAACGACAATTTAATTCTTGTTCTTTGCACCTTTTTCTGCCCCTTTCTTTAACCGTTTGTTAGGGATTCACTCATGTTTTGTGTGTAAGGAGAGCAAGACAGATGTGAAGCGCTGTGTCGTGTCGCAGTGTGGGAAGTTTTACCACGAAGCTTGCGTGAGGAAGTACCCTCTGACCGTGTTTGAGAGCCGAGGCTTCCGCTGCCCCCTCCACAGCTGCGTCAGCTGCCACGCTTCCAACCCTTCCAACCCGAGACCGTCGAAAGGTACAGGTGCACCCCTGGAGCTTCGCTGCGGCTTCAGTGTGCTCGTGGGGCCGCACGGAAGGGGCGGGCGTGGTGGCCGGCCCAGCTGTCTTTCTGTCACTGACTCAACACGCGCCGGGTTAGGGTTTTTCTTGAGAGAGGATTTGCCTCATGCTGCATTTTCCCTTCTTCCTGCCCTAAGTGTCTTCTTAAAGATTCTTAAGTTTAGGAGGGGGAAACCTTTGAACCATTTTGATTCTATTTGTTCTGGTTTTAGTGCTCTTTCATATATAAGAAAATTATTATTTTTTTAAGATTTTATTTATTTATTTGAGAGAGACAGAAAGAGCATGAGTTGGGGTTGGGGGGAGAAACAGAGGGAGAAGCAGGCTCCCCGCTGAGCAGGAGCCCGATGCGGGGCTCGATCCCAGGGCCCCGGGACCATGACCTGAGCCGAAGGCAGACGCTTAACGACTGAGCCACCCAGGCGCCCCGATCCTAGTTATTTTTTTTCATCAAATACTTCAGGTTTATTTCAGCATTAATTTTCTTAATGTGTGGGGGCTTGGTCATTTCAAGTTGCCCTGTTCACTGTTGGGTCTTCAGTGCATGTCTCTGCCTTCAGGTAAAATGATGCGGTGTGTCCGCTGCCCGGTCGCCTATCATGGAGGGGACGCTTGTCTGGCAGCCGGCTGCTCGGTGATAGCTTCCAACAGCATAATCTGCACGGGCCATTTCACTGCTCGCAAGGGGAAGAGGCATCACGCTCACGTCAACGTGAGCTGGTGTTTTGTGTGCTCCAAAGGTGAGGGCCGTGCCGCTGGGGGCTGCTTGACAGTGTTATTCTGTTGGATTCGTGTGAGTGGGGAGGGAGCGCTGCTTCTCATGGCTTCTCAGCACACAGCTCCAGCAGGTAACCCCAGGGGCCGCGTGCGGAGGCGGGGCTTCAGCGCTCCTCCAGCTTTGGGTGTTGACGTTCGTGATGTCCCCTAACCGTCACGTGCAGTCATACACCGTGATGTTTCTGAATTAACTGTGATTGGTGCACAGACTGAGGGGAAGTTATTCATGGTGGTGGTAAAATGTGCTTTAAAAAAAAAAAAAAAAAGAAAAAATTTAAGGGAGAGAGCGTGCGCTTGCATGAGCTGGGGTGGGGCAGGGGGAGAGAGAGAGAATCTCAAGCAGACTCCCCGCTGAGCAGGGAGTCCGATGCGGGGCTTGACCCGAGGACCCTGGGACCATGACCTGAGCCGAAATCAAGAGTCGGAGGCTTAACCGACTGAGCCCCCAGGTGCCCCTGAAATGTGCTTTTGAGTCTGTAGCCAGGCGGCTGTTGTTAAGCTGACGTCTTAGCTCGAGGCGTGGAGCTGCCATAGACCTCAGGAGGCGGCCTGAGCCAGCTCGCCCTCCCTTGCAGGGGGAAGCCTCCTGTGCTGCGAGTCCTGCCCGGCCGCCTTCCACCCTGACTGCCTGAACATCGACATGCCCGACGGCAGCTGGTTCTGCAATGACTGCCGGGCCGGCAAGAAGCTGCATTTCCAGGACATCATCTGGGTGAAGCTCGGGAACTACAGGTGCGAGAAGTAGAGCCCCGCGCTTGCCCGCCTCCTCGTTCACATGTGTTCTTTTCCCTTTGCAGGACTGAAAGCACTGAATTGATTGTCACTCTGTCTGAAGAGTCTGTGAATCCTCTTTTTAATATTTATAATAGATGGTGGCCGGCAGAAGTTTGCCATCCCAAAAATGTCCCCCCAAATATTCAGAAACTGAAGCACGAGATTGGAGAATTCCCTGTGTTTTTCTTTGGGTCTAAAGATTATTACTGGACGCATCAGGCGCGAGTGTTCCCGTACATGGAGGGGGACCGGGGCAGCCGCTACCAGGGGGTCAGAGGGATCGGAAGAGTCTTCAAAAACGGTACGGAGATTTCCAGATGCAGTGAAACTACGCTCTGGGGTACTTTTGCTAATCCTGATTTCTGCTGTTGGAAAGTTTGGTTTCTGTAGAAAACACTGGGCTGAGTGTTCTAGCTGCACTTTAAATGAGAAAAAAGTAGGTTTGCAGACTGATTTGTTGAGGTACAGGATAGAATGTGCTGTTCAGTAACTTTTATTATAACATCGGTTTGTGATTAATTTCACTAAAATGCATTGGCGCTACCGTTAAGAAGTTAGTTTTGGTAATGATTTACAGAAATTTCTTACAGCTTGCCTTTGCATAAGATGGAGATGTGGAGGAAACTTGGCTGCCGTCTAGACCAGGTGCCCCCGAAGTGCCAGGTGTGGGCAGGTAGACAGGTGCCCGCCCTCTGATTCCACAGCTGAGGTGGGGGACAGAGAGGGGCAAGAGCAGGGTGTCGTTCAGCTGACAGGATGGGAATGCGACCGCTTGACTGGAGTGAGTGGGACAGAAGGGAGACTTGGGGTGCATGCGCGGTGAGTCCAGGGAAAGCAGGCCTCTCCCGGCCGGTCGCACGTAGGAGGCTCGGTGGGCTGCCTGTCTCCTCTCCTGCGGATCCTCTCACACCGTGGGTGCACAGAGACCTTCTGACAAAGGGGGAGGCATCGCAAGAGTATCGGGTAGTCGCCATTAAACAAGAAAGATGTTGGAATTGAGAGGTGGCTCAACATGGCCAGTGTGAGAGGCAGCCGGCGATGGTGAAGTCAGGGTCTCACCATCCTGACTTACTGCTGGGGTCCTGCAGGTCAGGGTGGCCCCAGCGCACACGGTGTCCTCCAGGCAAACCTTAGTGGTCAGTCTCCTCCACTCTCCCTGAGCCTGGCGCTCACTCCTCAGAGCGTGTGTGCTCCTTGAGAGGAGCAAAATTCCATTTTCATTTTCTGTCTTAGGACAGTGGGTTCCCCGGATTGATGCCTGTATGGTGCATCAGATCCCAGTGGAGGGTGGGGAGCTGTAGCAGCATCCACCTGGAGAAGCCGGCCCTGGGGCCTTCCTTGTGGCGAGGTGGCACAATATTGTACCGCCCAGGGCTCTTGAGCCGGACGTGCTCTGAGCACCCTTCACTCGACGGCATCTGCGGTTTGGCGGTACCTGCCCCGCATGGTCTGCCATAGCCCGCAGTTCCGTGCACGCTGGAGACCGCGCCTAGCAGGGAGCTGGAGGTCCGCGGCCAGCCGTTGAGATGCAGCGCTGGAAGGGTGGAGGGATGAGTTTTTACTGAAACAAAACCTTACTCACACCCCTATATCTCATTGACTTTTTAGCACTGCAGGAAGCTGAAGCTCGTTTTCGTGAAATCAAACTTCAAAGGGAAGCCAGAGAATCACAGGAGAATGAACGCAAGCCCCCGCCATACAAGCACATCAAGGTGACGTGCAGATGGCTCAGGTGTCACTAAGGGGACTGTGGGTGGTCCTCAGGCATCAGCCTCTCAGACCTCTGGCTGCAGCGGCTAAGAGGGTCACCACGAGCAGGCGTCTGTAGCCCCGGCCTGGACAGCTGCCGGAGAAGTCGCAGGCAGAAACAGATGCTGTCAGTGCCGAGCATGTGTCCTTTCACGGGAGGGTGACGGGGCGCAGGGCTGGGGGCGGGGCGGGGTCTCTGCCTGTGAGGTTTCAGTTTTACCTTTGTGTGAGGCTCAAGCTGAGAGCCAGCGAGGGGCTGGAGTAACAGTCCTGGCCAGGCTGCCTGGAGCAGGAGGGGCTGAGGGCAGGCTGACTTCCTGGAGCACGCCGTCACCAGGTGCTGGGGACATGCTCGGATGAGAGGTGGTCAGCCCGGGCCACTGCTCAGCTGAGATGTGGCTCGGTCAGCTGGAGCCCTGGAGACAACATGACCTTCCCATCTCAGAGGGTGTGGACAGCAAGGAAGGACGGTGGGGGCGCTCCTGAATGTGGCCCCGTGTTGACTGCAGGGAGCCTGGGCTCTGGAAGAGATCAGGAGTGCTCCTCACAGCCGCAGCGCTTGGTGAGCCAGTGCCACCGTGTCCTGTTGCCTGGGGCGCGGGAGCCTCTCAGCGCGTGTGTGTCAGCTGGCTGCTCAGGGGCTGCAGTCCCTGTGTGTAGGAAGGAAGCACTGTCTGCAGTGATCTGTGCTTAGTGTTTTCTCTGGCGAATTTGCAGAAATGGAGCTACTGGGTCAGAGAGCTCGGGACTTTTAGATACTTTTTTTTTTTTTTAAGATTTATTTATTTGAGAGAGAGCGAGAGTGTGTGTGCACGCGTGAGCAGAGGGAAGGGGAGATGGAGGAGAGTCTCTCGCAGAGCCCGACGTGGGCCTTGATCCCACAGTCCCCGAGACTGTGACCCGAGCCAAAGTCAAGAGTCGGACGCTCAAGCGACCGAGCCCGCCCAGGCGCCCCACGGGACTTTTAGATTCTGAAGGCGTGTTTTCAGCTTGCTTCGGTGTTGTGCTGTCTGTCACCCCAACAGCAGGGCAAAGCATCTTCTACCACGTTTCCCCTTGAATTGTTAGTATCTGCTTTAGTTTCTCTTCCCTTCTCTCTCTGGCTTTTTTGTTGGGTTGCTCTTGTTCCGTCATTACGAACTGTGAGTTCAGGAGGGCAGAGACCGTGTGTCCTTTGTGCTCACCACCACTGCCCTGGCCCCCTGCCTGCAGGTCATCAGATCCGGGTGCTAGAAGGCCAGCTGCCCTGCACTGTGCGCAGCACCTGCTCGCGTTCCTCCCTTAGAGCAGCCAGGCTGCAGAAGTGTCTGCTCTCTCCTGTAGACGAGGAACACGGACTAGTTGGGGTGTGGGATGAGGGCTTCGCTCCAGCCCACCTTCTAGAGCTCCCAGGTCAAGGGTGGCCTGTGGTGGGAGGTGCACCTGTGGGAGGTGGGATGTGCCCCCTGCCATCCCTGCCGGGCCTCCGAAGCTCAGACCTTCAGGTGGGGACAGGAGTAGGGACGGGGCGTCAGATGCTTGTTCTCTTGGCGCATCAGCTCATAAGATGCCAATTTTCTCCCCTGCAGGTGAATAAACCTTATGGGAAAGTCCAGATCTATACAGCTGATATCTCTGAAATCCCGAAGTGCAACTGTAAGCCCACAGATGAGAATCCCTGTGGCTTTGATTCGGAGTGTTTGAACAGGATGCTGATGTTCGAGTGCCACCCGCAGGTGTGTCCTGCAGGCGAGTATTGCCAGAACCAGTGTTTCACCAAGCGCCAGTACCCCGAGACCAAGATCATCAAGACAGACGGCAAAGGATGGGGCCTGGTCGCCAAGCGGGACATTAGAAAGGTGTGTGTCATGCCCCTTTCCCTTGCTTTTAAGAAATTAGGGGTCATTTGGTGGCTTGAACTTGGATTTGCTTATTGGGCTTTTGCACTCATGAAAGAATGGTATTTTTAAAAAAAGGTTTTGAGTTATCATAATGGAATATTGTAAAATGTTACATGAAAGCTGCCTATCCAAGTAAAACTCAAAAATCCCCTTAGAGCATGCCTCCTGTTGACATTTCGGTGGTTGCTTTAGGATGTGAAAGACTAGGAGGGAGCCCTTCGCTGGGTAAGTGGACAGACACTCCAGGGGGTCGCGAACGGGTGGGAAGAGGCTGTGCTGTCTGGGGCAGCGCAGGGCAGGTCGTCAGTGCCAGGGGCCACATACGGTCCACCTGCCTCCGTCCTCTGACCGAGTGACCAGCTGCGTCCATTAGGTAGGGGCAACTGGAATTGGCTTGTTGCCCTCTGTCTGGCCAAGCCAGGGCACGGCCTGGGGGGCAGCGGCCTCAGACCCGAGGCCTGGTCTCGGCCTGATCCTGAGCAAAAAAGGCTGCCTTGAAACATGCAAAACCCCTATGGTCGTGTTCCCCTGCCTGCCTTGGCGGCCAGTTCTTCTGGCCTCCTGTGGGGAGGACTCTGCTGGTGAACGGGCAGAGCTGCAGCCGGAAGTCCGGCAGGAGCTCAGGGTCCCACCGTAGTGTCCCCAGGGGCAGTTTGCTGCAGGGAGCAAGAGTTAGGGTGTTGCTGCTTTGGGAAGGGTGCTTGGATGAATTTTTTCTTGACAGCCTGTATAAAATACGTATAGAGTCATGTGAGTTGACTCGGACTAACGGGGACTCTGAAAGACCCCGCCCCCGATGGCGTGATGGCACGTGCATGGTGCCCCGCTCTGGTTGCTTCACCTGTGGGCTCTTGCGCTCTGGAATTGAGAGCTGGTTCGTCTGTTCTTTATCATCATCACGCTCTTCTGGTTTCCAGGGAGAATTTGTGAACGAGTATGTTGGCGAGCTGATTGACGAGGAGGAGTGCATGGCAAGAATCAAATATGCGCACGAGAATGACATCACCCACTTCTACATGCTCACCATAGACAAGGTAGTGCTGACTGATCCTCACGGCTTACGTCTGCAGTGCGCCGTCGCCTGTAACAGCAGACCTTGTCTTGTGGTGACGATACCGTGTTGTCCACGTGTCACTCTTAAGATGTGTGTACATTTTCTCTTGAAGTGTACGGTGTCTTCCGACAGCTGCCTGAGGGCCGGAGCGGGCTGTCTGTGTGCGTGAGTGCATCCTGGGAGCCTCACGTGTCCCACCGGTGCGTGAAGAGCGTACTGGACAGCTGGGCTAAGGGTCAGTGAACAGAGGAGAAAAGCACGGATTAGGAGAGTTACACATGCGTTCAGTTACGCGGCGGGGCTTCCTGTTTGTTCATCGCTTGTCTGAAGCCCCGACGTGCAAAAGCAGCTGGAACATAGGCGTGTGCTAGAGGGAGGGTGGGTGAGAATATGCTTGTTTCCGAGTCACAGGGCGAGTGAGAGAAAGCGCAGGCGGGTCCCTCGCGGGTTGGCAGCAGGTGCCCGACGGGGACAGGCCCTTTCCAGGGTAGCAACGTGGTGGGCTGGTCTGACCCCAGGGGCAGCCTGCTTGCTGCCTGAATGTTGCTTGAGGGGAAGGCAGACACGATGCCTGTTTCTGCTACTTCTTGCCCTTAATCTCATAATCTAGCAGGAAGACGTGGCTGTTTTTAGGAATGCTTGAAAACAAGATAGAGGATGATCACACACCACATGCTTTGAATAACTCAAGGAAATAACAGAAACACAATGTGATGAGGTCTGGAAAGCAGCCTGTTGTGGAGATTAGGATGGTCCCAGAGACCTCGCAGGGTCGTCCCCAGGGAGGCTGTGGCCCCAGGAGCGCTGGGCTCTTGGTCATTGGCTGCAACTTGACCAGTCATGGGGCCTAGACCCTGCAACGAGGATTGTGCTTCCTGCCGAGACCCTAAATCTTGGGGCTGGGGTGCTGGACAGGACGTCGTGGAGACAGGGAAACCGTTTCCAGGTGCTGACAGTTGATGCCTGGACAGGGTTGCTCCTTGTGAGGAGAAAGTGGTGATGTGTTTCAGGCTCAAGCAGCTGAGTTAGGTAACTCGCAGAGGGAAGGGGGAGTGAGCGCACGTGTACATCTGTGTAAAAGATGACGGAGCAAGCGTGGAAATGTCAGTAGTCGGTGTATCGAAGTGAAGGGTGTACTGGTGGTCGTTGTGGTAGTAGTCCGTTTTTCCTGTAAATTTGAAATTTCTTAAAAAGAATTGGTTAGGGGCGCCTGGGTGGCTCAATCGGTTAGGCGTCCAACTTTTGATTTCGGCTCAGGTCATGAGAGTCTGCTTAAGATTCTCTCCTCCTGGGGCGCCTGGGTGGCTCAGTCATTAAGCGTCTGCCTTCGGCTCAGGTCATGACCCCAGGGTCCTGGGATCAAGCCCCGCATCGGGCTCCCTGCTCAGCGGGAAGCCTGCTTCTCCCTCTCCCACTCCCCCTGCTTGTGTTCCCTCTCTCGCTGTGTCTCTCTCTGTCAAATAAATAAATAAATAAAATCCTTTTTTTTTTTTTTTAGATTTTATTTATTCATTTGAGAGAATAAGAGAGAGAGAGAGAGAGAGAGAGCGAGCATGAGAGGGGGGAGGGTCAGAGGCAGAAGCAGACCCCCTGCCGAGCAGGGAGCCCGATGTGGGACTCGATCCCGGGACTCCAGGACCACGACCCGAGCCGAAGGCAGTCGCTTGACCAACTGAGCCACCCAGGCGCCCCAATAAATAAAATCTTAAAAAAAAAAAAAAAAAGAATTGGTTAGAAAGGTGAGCATCCTGGACTAGAGAGGAGGCTGCTTTTCCTCCCTTGTGCCTGTCAGGAACCCCGCACCTCTGTCCACGTAGGCTTCTATAAGAGGCAGGCCTGCAGATCCCATAGGCTGGCAAACAGGAATTCTGTAGTACAGAATGAACAGAAAACTAAGAATAACCAGCCGTTGATGAAGGAGGACCGTCTGTCCAGCCCCCTCGAAACTCTCACAACACCTGTGCAGGATGGCAGGTTAGGGGCAGAGAGTTCTGCCATGCTGGGGCCAGATCCATGGAGGCAAGGGTCTGTAGGCACAGCTTCCCGGGGGCCATGGGGCATGGAACAGGTGGTGCTCGAGTTTGAACCCTTGCGTGGGGACCGCCGCCAGAGCCTGCTCCAAGGTCTGCCGTGCGGCTGGGCCCGAGGGGCCTGCGTGGACCCCACGGAGGGCTGTAGTCCCAGGGGAGGGGCCAGTAAACTTGGCCCGGGGGTGGCCAATGTATGCTTCCCTCTGCCATCCCCTGCCCTTGGGGAGTGGCAAGGGAGGTCATTTTCTTAGAAATTCAACCCCTAGACCTGTGTCTTACTATGTTTTGGAGTCTAAATTTAAACGACTTGTGTGTTGTAAGAAATGAGAAGTTGACCATTTAACACACAGATTGGTCTCTGAAATGATAATTTACCCAGGGCACCTGACCGAAGCCAAGTTAAAGCCCTTGACACACGAGGGACACTTAAACAATTCATACCTCGTGTCCTTGCTATAAAAACAACACGGACTAGCCCTACCTGAGCGTTTACAGAGCACAACGGAGCAAGAGCTCCCTAAGCAGACCTTCAAAAAGTCTTAGCTTTTGGTGAGAACCAGAAGTAGCAGGACCCCCATCTGAAAGTGGTGGAAGCAGGACCTCCGTTAGAAGTGGCGGGAGCCATTGAAGGAGACGTGGGCATCACGAGGGAAGAGCAGGGTGCAGACGTGAGCGGCTCAGACACGGAGCCGTGGGAATGAGCCCAGAAGGCGGCTGCGGAGGCACTAGGCAGCCGCGGGGAAAGCGGCCGGAGAGGAAGCCCTGGGGCTGTGGACCGCAGTGCAGGAGGATGAAAAGGTGTAAACTTTGTCAGAGCGGCCCGAAGATGTGGAAAGTAGGAATGTTCGGTGGATGCTCCAGAAGCAGAGACTGGGGAATGGGGGGAAAGGTCGTATGAAAAAAGGATTTTCTGGAAGCTGATGAAACTGACCAAGGTTTGAACAGAATGAATAAAAATAAGTCTATACCTAGATAGGTTATTTAAAACAACAACAACAACAACAACAAAAAACCAACCCAAACCTGTAGGGTAGCCAAGACGGCAAAGATTGAAAGCCCCAGAGAGAAGAAGAGCGCGTTCCAGGGAGCGGCCGCCCCAGGGCTGTGTGGGTAGGCTCAGCGGTTGAGCGTCCGACTCTTGACTTTGGCCCGGGTCACGGTCTCAGGGCCGTGAGGTGGAGCGCCCGGCGTTGGGCTCCACACTGGGCATGGAGCCTGCTTGAGATTCTCTCCTTCCGCCCCTCCCACTTGTGCACTCGCTCTTTCTAAAATATAAAATAAAATATTTAAAGTAAAAGAACAAGAAAGGCTCTAAGAGTACACTAGGAAAGAAAAGACTTGGCAGCCGCTCGTCCGGAGAGGGCCGCGCTTGGTGTGCGGACGTCAGATAAGGTTGACTTTGGAGGGAGTGTGTGGAGCGGCTGCGGCAGGCCTCGGCCGGGGGCGCAGTCTCCTGACTGGGTGCGGTTGTGGGGGTGCAGGAGGGCCCAGGGAGGCGGCAGTGGGGGCGGGCTCCATGTGTATCTGAGAGCTTGGGGCGATCTTAGAAGCAGTTCGATGAAAAAAAAAAAAAAGGAGACAGAAGGAGATCCACAGTCAGCAGCATGAATCTCTAAGTTAAAGAATCTACACATGGAATTCTGGCAGGAGAGGGCGGCAGTTCACTTCCAAAGCAGCTACAACAAGAAGTACATACAAAGCATATCTGGAGCGGAACTGAGGACTGAGAGAGTGCTGAGTTCCCACTGAGCTTCCAGAGAGGACAGCGGAGACAGGCACGGGGGGCTCCTGGGAGGCGCGGGTGACAGGCCTCGGGAAGGACCATCTTCCAGGAGTGAGAAAGAGAAGGGACCCGTGGTGGGGGCAGCGGTGGGGACCCCCGTCAGGCTGGCAGCAGAGAAGGGTACCTGAGACAGCAGGACCCCCAGTCCAGCTGCGAGCCGCCGCAGACCCCCAGCGCGCTCAGAGACGGGACGAAGGGAGCAGCGGATGAAAGCTCTACCCGGCGTTGAGCGTGGATTCTGAAGTGTGAGGAGCTGGAGGTGGCCAGACAGCCGGCAGAGCTGAGTCGGGAACTCGGCGGGCTCAGGACGGGACAGGAGGAGACACGGGCGTCTGCCGGGCAGAGCTTCCGCTGCAAGGGGCATGTGGGGAGCAGCAGACGCAGGGCGGACACGACAGAGAAAGACCAGGAGACACGCACAGCACAGGGAGCAGGCCCAGGAGCATCCCTGCGTGGCCCCAGCCTGGAGACGAGCCTGCGCCTCCGCTGACCTTCTGGAAAACTCAAGGGAAGTGGGAAAGAAAAGGACCCTGTATTTCAGGGAAATCCATCCAGAATGGCCAACAGAATAAAAATCGTATTAAAATTACTGGATGTGACAAAGACTCCTTCGCCAGCCAGACGTAAACACTGAATTGCTTCTCAGGGGAAGAGAGCGAGGCTGGCTTGAGGCCGCAGCACAGAGGAGTAGAACCAGCATGGTCTTCAGAACAGAGGGAACCAAAGATTCTGCGGTGAGCTGAGTGGTTCATCGGTACTGTGGCTACAGGGTAAGAGGCGAGCGCCAAGGAACTGAGAAAGTGCAGACCCGCTCTGACGACAACTCAGGAGATGGGGGAGAAGGCCTTTTCTTCCTGTTGGATGAAGGCCTGAGCGAGGCTCAGGAGGGAGACAAAGATGCTTGCTGCTTCTGCTGCTCTGGGGCGGCACAGGGAGGCCGAGCGCACCGGTGTTTGCCCCCCCCCCCCATACCCCGCACCCACCGATACACCCACATGGTTAGTTTTAAAATCAACGTTGGCGGGCCATCCCAGAGTCCACGCAGAGGGCTACAGCTGCAAGATTAAAGGGGGGCGTATCTTAGCGACGGCACTGTCGGTGCTCCCCGTGGAGCTCCCTGTCCCAGGGGCAGGCGGCAGGGCATCCCCCTGCCTCCACTCACGGAAGTCGATATTCCAGACACAGGAGCTAGGAAATGTTGGGGGTATCTTTTGTAGCGCAGGGGGAGGGAGGGCTGGGCCAGGCTAGTCAGAAACCCTGAGTGCATAAAGCAAAAGATAAAGAGCTGTAGAAAACTGGGGAAGTTCTCAGAGAAGGCTCCATAAAGGTAAAAATCGAGTGTTGTCCTACGAGAAAGATTTGACACGTGGTCACCAAGGGTCTAGTACCCACAGCACAGAACAGAGTGAAGGCGTGGTGGCCGTCCCCGGGTGCAGACACGCATACGCCCGGGAACTGCCCACAGGCGCCCCGGGGGCCCGTCACTCTGTGCACGGTGTTGGGGACCAGGGCTGACCAGGGCTGTCCCACTACTGGCAGGCATCGCGGGCCGTGTTCTGGAAAGGGTTTGTGGGAATGCCGGCACGGGTGCGTGAGAGTGCAGACGGCAGCATCGTCTTTGGGGGGATGGCGCCCCTGGCGCTGGGGTGGGCGGTTAGCAGGGCCCTTATGCGGTGGGAGAGAGCGTGCTGCAGAGCAAGCCCGTTCTGGTGCCATTTCTCTACGTAAGGAACACCTGGCGTGGGTGTGGCTGAGGTGGGACGTGTCGGAGCCAGCCTGGCTTGGACAAGGGGGACCCTGTGGGGCGGCATCGCCAGGCAGGGGGGCCCGGCACAGGACTCCTGGGGCCCCAGGAGAGACACCCCACAGATGTGTGTGTGTTTACACGTTTGTGTGCCCCGTTCAGACACAAGTTTGCACAAACTCATGACTTTCGTACTTTGCCTGATTTTAAGTGTCCTCCTGCCCGCTGGGACATTTCTTACCTCGACTGCTCCCTGTGGCATGGGGACCCCTTGTGCAGTCCAGCCAGTGACCTTTAGGCTCCAGTCTCCCCGTTGCTGGTGATGAACACATCCTCGTGTGCAGGGGCACAGGGCAGGGCCGCCGTGGGCCTGTATGTCTTCGGCGGCAGCGGCTTGCTTTTTCAAAACTGTCCCTGCCGGCCTGTGGCCGGCCCCTGTGGCTTGGCCAACGTTCCCGTCGCAGCGTGAGGTCAGATTGCATTGTTGTTGGAGTTGGTACTTCGTCAGCTGCTTAGGGATGCGGACCCCTTCCCAAATGCACGTCTGTCTGGATCTGATCTTTGGGCACTGCTTGTTCATATCCTTGGTCCATTTTGGAACTGGGCTCCTGTTGTCTTTGTCTGTGAATGTTGTTTCCCCCCGGCCGTTAGTGTTGACCTTCCCGTCTCCTGGCTTCTTGTTTGCCATCCGATGGGTGGTATTGGGGAGCACCAGCTGGCTGCCCCATCCTCACCAACACTCACTGGGGCTTGGTCCTCTCCACGTGGTCGTGACCCGCCCCCCGTGAGTGAGAGAAACAGGACTGGTCTGGGGGTGTCCTGTCCGAGTGGACATGGGAGACCACGGTTTCCAGCACAACATTGTTGTCCAGCAGGTGTTAAGACGGAGAAAATTCCCTTTAAACAAGGACGCGATGGCTAAGCACTGCCCGCGTATTCCAATGCTGCTTGAAACTTGAGTTGTACCTTACAGGACCGTATAATTGATGCTGGCCCCAAAGGAAACTATTCCCGATTTATGAACCACAGCTGCCAGCCCAACTGTGAGACCCTCAAGTGGACAGTGAACGGTGACACTCGCGTGGGCCTGTTTGCGGTGTGTGACATTCCTGCAGGTATGACACCTCCAGGGGCTCTGCACGGGGGCCTGGGCTGCACGGCAGGTGCCGGTGATCACAGCTGCCGCGTGAGGCCAGCCTGGAGCAGCCTGGGGGGCGGGCGCGGGGTGCGGGGCGCTGCAGGTGGCTCTACTCTGAGCACCCGTGGAGAGCCGTGAGGGGGCGGGAGTGTGTTCTGTGGACCTGGCGGAGGCTCTCGCCTTGACAAAGAGGCCAGTATTTCCAGTGCTGTGTCTCTTGTCACCTAGGGACAGAGCTGACCTTCAACTACAACCTCGATTGTTTGGGTAACGAGAAAACAGTCTGTCGGTGTGGGGCCTCCAACTGCAGTGGGTTCCTCGGGGACAGACCAAAGGTAAAGGCATGGCTCCCATTGTCCCCCGCTGACATCAGCATTTCCGACGTCTGCGAGCACGTCCCTCTTAGTGGAAAGTGGCTTCTTCCGAGTTGACTTGTAGCTGTGACAGGCGGGAGGGGGTCTCTGCAGGCTGTGGGTGAGGATGGCCGCAGGGAGGCGAGGCTCCTCCCGAGGGACTGTGCTGGGGCTGCTGTCGCCAAGTACCACAGGCTGAGGTGTGAACCACAGAACTTCTCGAGGCCAGAAACCCGAAATCAGGGCGTAGTCAGGGCTGCACTCCCTCCCAGCGCTCTCCCAGCTTCTGGTGGTTTCCAGCAACCTTTGGCGTTCCTCGGCTTGTAGACGCTTTCCTCGTCTCTGCCGTGATCTTCACGGGGCCTGCTCCCTCTTCTGGGTCTCTTCCTCTTCCTCTAAGGACACCCTGGTCGTGTGGGATTAGGGACCCCTACCCCAGTGTGACCTCATCCTAATTTAGTTACAGGTTAAGGTCCAATTCTGAGATGCTGGGAAGGTCACAAATTTGGGACACAATTACCTGCCTCCTTGTGCCACATAACCTGGGCCCTAAAACACTGGCAGATCCCAGGCATCTGGCCCTGAGTTGGGTGTCCATGTTGGTGCCTGCTGCTTCAACCGGAGAATGATTTTCTCTCATTCACAATGAAATTCTTACCAGAAAGAGCCAAGGATGCACCCCGGCCCAGCAGGAGCCACTCTGTGGCCCGAGCATCCCGTCAGCAGATTTGGGGGCCGCTATGAGGCGCCGCTGCGGGAGACTTTTGGCAAAGCTGGTTTTACTTTCTGTGCTCAACTGTCTTCCATTTAGCGAGATGGATGGCCCTCCCTGGCATGTGTCCTGTGTCCCCGTCTCCTGTCCTTTCGGTGTAAGAGCGTCTCCAGGGGCCTCCGAGGCCCCCGCACCTCCACTCTGGCTCTTCGTAGTTTCTTCTTACTTCCGTCCATGAGATTCTTTCAAGTGAACTGCACTTTTTTCTTCTAGACCTCAACATCCCTTTCTTCAGAGGAAAAGGGCAAAAAGACCAAGAAAAGAACCAGGAGGCGGAGAACCAGAGGTGAAGGGAAGAAGGAGTCCGAAGACGAGTGTTTCCGCTGTGGGGATGGCGGCCAGCTGGTGCTGTGTGACCGCAAGTCCTGTACCAAGGCCTACCACCTGTCGTGCCTGGGCCTGGGCAAGCGGCCCTTCGGTGGGTGAGCGGGCCCCCTGGCAGCCTTTGGGGGTCCCTGTCGATGGCTCTCCTCTCCCGGTCACAGATTCGCTGGTGACTCAGGTAGTGAGGCCCGGCCCGGGGAGGTCTGCACATGGGGTCAGGGTCCGCGGTGCGAATGGTCGTGGAACCTCTGAGGCTGCCCCGAGCGGAGGCCACACTAGAGCTGATGGCCTGGGAGGAGGGAACAGGCCAGGAGGGGACAAGCAGTGGGCTCTGCCTTGCGCTTTCAACCTCGTTTCGGAGAGATTATAGGCGCCACTGTGAAAATGTCCACAGAAGAAATGTCTCAGAAGAAAAACAGGCCTTTAGCCAGAGAAACTGAAAACCTATAAAAGGAAAACTCCGACGTGTTTGAGTGTAAAAAAAAGTAATTGTGACAGAGCACGATTTCATAGGCAAATGGGAAAGCTATTTGCGGGAGGTGTGATGGTGACCCGTACACACTAACGTCAGGAAGACCGTGGTCCAGGCCACAGCGAGGTCACGGGAGAGAAGTCGGCGTGTCAGCTGGGCCACCAGAGCGCTGCCTCCTCCGTGCGCAGGGTGGCAGCCTGGGACTCGGTGCGCGCGCCCTCCGCCAGGCCCTCCGCCAGGCCTGCCCGCCTCCGCTGCTCTGTACGTTTTCACAGCTCGATAGGAAGCAGTGTCTTGTCTGAATTTGTGTCTGTCTCACTGGATGGTTTTAAAATTGGTTTTCAACCACGAAGAGGTTAGAAGTTGTTCGGTTCTGTCACTTCTGTTAATTTGTCGTGTTTCATTGCAGGGAAGTGGGAATGTCCTTGGCATCATTGTGACGTGTGTGGCAAACCTTCCACTTTGTTTTGCCACTTTTGCCCCAATTCGTTTTGCAAGGAACACCAGGACGGGCCAGCCTTCAGCTCCACCCAGGACGGGCGGCCCTGCTGCTGCGAGCACGACCTGGGGGCAGAGTCGGCTCGAAGCGCCAAGACTGAGAAACCCTTTCTGGAACCCACCAAGTCCAAGGGGAAGAGGAAGAGAAGAAGGTGCTGGCGGAGAGTCATGGAAGGCAAATAGCGCCAGGCAGCGGCTTGGCCAGATCCAAGGGTAGAGGGCCACGCGGGGGACTGGCCCGGAGGACCCAGCCGTGTAGGCCTCCTGGCGGGGGGGGGAGCGCCTGTCCACCACTGAGCCATCCTCAGCAGCGCCCGCTGCGTCTGCACTGACGACCCGTCTGGGCCGCGAGGTTCAGAAGGTTCCCGGACACACAAGCCTTACTACACAGCATTACAGCTACACTTGAATTTCTGAGAATGTCAAGGTCCCCTCCCACTCTATTTTTGTAGGTTAAAGTTATAATTGAAAATTAATTGGCATATGAAATGTTTCTATCTCACCCAAAATGTAGAGAGTAGTATTTTTCTAAAGGATCACTATTATCTCTTTAATCTTAACAATGTTACTTGGCCTGCTTACCTGTCTTCATCACTCAGGAGAGACCAGGGTGGGGCCTGGGCAAGGACTCAGACCCTGGATTCCCTGGAAACCATGATTTTGATCATTATTTTGCTCATATGAAACAGCTGTATGATTTTTTTTTTTTTGTACTAATGTGAAATTTTTCCTCAAAATGCTTCTTTTCCATCCTAGTGAGAAGCCGGCCCCAGGAGCAGTGATAGTGGTAGCGTTGTTGTAAGATGCCCCCGTAGTTTGTTCTGACGTGGATCTGGACTGAGTGGCGCCACCACGTCGGCCTCCCAAGTGTGGGGTCCGCGCGGCCCAGCCCCTCCCGACCAGGCCGGGGCTGGCGCTTCTCACCTGCCTGTCTCCTGAACGCACTCGGTTCTTGCCAACATTTGGGGGAAGACTTTGTATATTTTTTTCATTTGGCTTTTCTCTACCAGTTTCTGGCTTTTATTCTCAATATATTTTTGCTAAACTTGTTTCACAAATTACCACCGACTGAAATGTGTATTTACTGATGCGGCCCCGAGTTGTCCCAGCGAAAGGAGCGGAACTCGGTAGTGAGTTTGTGTCAAGAGAGGAGTTCGTGAAAATGGCTCTGTAGGAGCTGTGGTGTGCCCTGTGGAACTGCAGGTGACAGTTGGGTGCAGGGCAGGTGCTCGCCACCCTGGGGACCCAGAGCACGTGGGAGACGTGCATTTCCAAAAAATGTTCCCTGAGGGTCTGAGGAGAGACCCAGAGTTTAGAACTGTTCCCTCTAGTTACTGCCATTGAGTCATACGTGTGGGTCTGTTCGTGGAAAACGTGCTCAGCTGGGACACGCCGTGGAGAAGCGCTCGCGCCGGGGCTCCGGGCCTATACCACGGGCGCAGCAGCGGGCGGGCGTCCGGCCTGAGTTTCCCCGGGAAGATGGCCACTAACTTTCACTTATTAGAAGGCCCAGCCCCACAAAGTGAGAAGCTGCTGGGAATATGAAGTTGTCTTCTCTCTTGGAGTTCCTCTTGACTGTGGGGAGTCCGGAGCGCCCCGAGGGCAGGGGTCCCGTCAGACCACCCGTGTGCCCTCCGCGGGGACTGCAGTCTCGGTGCTTGCAATGGGAGGGAAGGGGATACTCAGCGGCAAACGCTGTTTTCTGCTCTTTCTTCTTAAGATAACCTAAGGAGGACACGTATCCTGCAGAGAAGTATACACAGGCCTTCTTGAAAACTGCTCCTGAGGTCTCCTGCTCCTTGCACAATTGCAGGATGTCCTTGGACCCAGAGCCCTGTTCACGGCTTCTCCATGGTTCTGTGACATGAGCTCTTGGGGGTGGTGGTCTCTGCCAGGTTCTGACCGCAGGGAAGAATCTGCTGCTGGTGTGAGGCTCCCTGGTGTCCGCAGGTCCGCGCCTCCCCCAGCACTAACAGCAGAGTTTTACCGACTGTGGCGGTCCCTTTGGTGCCTCTCCTACCGCCGTCCTGGAGAAAGGAGCCATACACGGCGACCCAGGAAACATGGGATCTTGATCATCAGTTGACTCCTGCATGTGGCTCAGGTGACCTCTGGAAATGCACTTGCTTTGGTAAGACACGGGGACTGGGGGGGGGGGGGGTTCAGTCTAGAACTCTAATTTCTCTCAAGTCGTCCTAAGAAAATACTGGATTGATGTATAGATTTATGCTCCTTATTCTCTGAACAACTTGGAAGGCTGTTCCAGCAACGGGTCCGGCGGCGCTCCTACACCCTCACGCTCTGGGCCAGGGCCTGAGGCCGCGGGGTCCCTGCAGGAGTCCGCTCTCCAGAGCCCGGGGCCTGGGGTGCGGGCCACGCGCCTTGCTTGTCCTTTCCCACCAGCGAAGGGACTTCTGCCGAAGTCAGACCATCAGACTGGGCTTGCAGTGCACTTTGGGGAGCAGATTAACTTATTTTTGTATTTGACGTAGTAAAAAATCTTGTGATTTTTTTTGAGTCACTTTGATATTTTCAAAATCTACGATCTTTCTGAAGGAAATACTGGAAAAATTATTTTAAATATGGTTATTCTCTTTCCAAAAACTGTTGAACTAATGAGCAAATAACACTAACTTTGAAAAATCTCTAGAAAACTGGTTTATAAATCAGTACAACAAGGCTGCAGCGTGGCGGCTGAGCGCCAAGGGCTCTCCCATGGGGGCCAACGCGCTTCGCTCCGAGTCAGAGGGAGAGCTCGTGTAGGGGGATTTGGTCTTTCTGAACATCAGCTTCAGTCCTTTGTCACGAACACGAAGCAGAAACAAAACGAAAATTGCCCCAACATCTCCGGATTCCTCCGCATCAGGAATGGCCGGCACTGTGGCCCCGGAGGGTGAGGTCGCGCCTGCCCGTGCCAGCACTGGTCTCCGGGTGTGGGGCCCGGGGACGTGTCCACCCTGGCACTCATGACACGCGACCACTAGGGGAATCGAGTGTGGCGCCCACGGAGCACGGGGGAGACTCCATTTTGCCCCGTCCCGCAAGGAGCCGCGCGCAACACCCTGCCTCCCGGGCCTCCCATACGCTCAGGTCTGCGCCTCGGATGCCTCAAGTTGTGATCCTGATCACACAAACCACGGGGTGTGTGTAGTGCCCACCTTCCAGAACTACCGTATTTCCGGGAATTAAAGATAAGCCTGTTTTGACGAAAATTAACACAAATGACTGTTGCCAAATTCTCGATCCTCCGAGCAGCATGGTGTTGGGTGTTAGTCACTAGAGTGAATTGCTCATGGGCGTCGTGGTGTCCGCCGTACCCTGTTGAGATGTGAAACGCCCTGTCAGAAATTAAATCTGAACTGAAACGGTCTGTCGGTGTCGGAGCTTCCTACAGGATGAGGCCAGGCTCCTTTTAGGAACACTTGGTGCTCTCACTGGTCTGGATAGACTTAAAAACTTGAAATTCCTGCTGGGGGGTAACAGACTGAACTGTAGACGTGAGAACTGCCAGTCAGGGGAAAATAGCATTTAAAGTGGGACATTGTGTTTGGAAAACTGTATATGAGTATTTTTGTATTAAAATTTTTTTAAAGGCTTTTCTTCTTAAACTTATTTTATATGGGGTTGCATTTTGAAGTCTGGGACTTTTCCCCACTTTTCCAGTTCCTTTGGCACCTGGCACAGCCCTGACATGCCCCCGTCCCCCGATTGCCGTCCTGCTCGCGACTTGCCAGGGAGAGGCTGACGGGGCCTCGGGAGGTTCAGCCAATACCAGACAAAGCAAGTGGGGCTCTCCTTCTGGAAAAATGCCCCCCCCCCCCCGGGGTAAATAATTTGATTACCAAAAATCCCCATTGAGAGAGAAACGGTCAGGAGTGGAGCTGCCGACTCTTCTCAGCTGGTGTTCACTCAGCTCCAGGTCCTCTGTCTTCTCCGATAAAGAGCCTCTGGCCGTGTCAGCGGGGGGTGACTGTCCTGCGGCCCCCACCAGCCCCCACCCCTGGAGCAGAGAGGCCAGGCTGGCCCAAAACACAGCTCCGGGGCTTTCTTTAGAAAAGCTATACTTTAATTACTTGGATCGTTTGTACAATGAAAACAGGCACCAGAAGACTGGTCTCAATGCTCACAACCATACAAAAGACAAATACAAAACCTGCGCATGGCGTGTGCAGCCCGGCGTCCCCCGCTCCGGGGCACGTGGCAGGCCGTCCCCACCCCGTTCTCAACTGTGCTGGGCCTCACTTTGGTCCCCTCAAAACCTCGTGGGACGGGAAGAGCGGCGCACTAGCAAGGAAGAGCCCGCCCTCGTGGTCAGTGGAATTTAAGAAAAAAATTTAAAAAAAAGATAAAAGTCTAACAGGCAGAGCTGTCGCTAAAATTAGGAAGTTATAAGTTTTTTGGTTAACTTTAACATTCAAAAATGCAATATTGAATCCAAAAAAGTATCTGAAATCACACAAAAGGTAACCCATATTAAAATTTAAAAAATAAGTCCAGAACACCCCCAAGAAATGAACCTAAAAGCTTCCGTGGGCTGGGGCTCGGCAGCAGCCGTGGGCCGGTCACGGGTCGTCCCTCAGCCCCGCAGTGAAGGCGGGCGGGGGCGGGGGCGCCCTAGGACACATTGGCCATGGGCTTGTACTTCTTGAAGCGCGTCCACTGGCCTGTGGCATAGTTCATCTCGAACACGGTGTCCACCAGCATGGTGGTGCTGCCCTGGCCATCCGACTTGGGCAGGTCCTCCGTGTGCTCGCTGAGCTTGATCTGGATCACGTCGCCCTGCTCCTGGCACGGGTTCTCTGTGGAGGGCAGGGGCTGCTGGGCGGGGCACTGGGGGGTGGAGGGGGGTGGGGGGCGGGGAGCCCATTCCCCCCACCCTGCGGGGGGGGGGGCCCTCATCCCCCCACCCCGGCGGGGCCGGCCGTGCACACCCACCTCGGGAACCGGCCATGAAGCCCAGGATGAGGGCCTTCTCGGGCCGCGTGACTTTGTTGGCCGTCTTGAACATCTCCTGCGCAGCGAACATCTGCTCTCTCTGCAAGCATGGGGAGAGGGGGTGTGGGTACCCGGGCCCACCCAGCACCCCCGCCCGTGTCCACCTGGAGGCCCCTGCCAGGCACTCTCCAGGTGTGGGTGGCTGAGGCCACACGCCCTTCCTGGTGGCTCTCGCCTGTCACCTAAGGCACACCTACCGTGAGCGACAGGTTCTTCTTGGGCTGCTGCTGGGCAGGGGGCTGGGTCTGTGGGGTGACCATGGCCACCGGAGGTGTCTGGGCGGCCGGGGTGACGGCTGGAGGTGTGGTGGGCGTCAGCGGTGAGGTGGGTGTCGAAGGCGCAGGTGCGGCCGGGCTCGGGCCGCTGTTGTACATGGGGGCCCTCTGCTTGAACTGCGCTGGCAGCGCGGGGCTGGGGGCACTGGGCTCCTCGGGCGGCCGGCTAGCCTGCAGGCCAGCTTCCCGAGAAGACGGTGCTGTAGGCAGAGCAAGATCTGGTGAGGGGGCCGGCCGGGCCCGGGGACCCCCGCCCCCACCCCACCCCCCTCGGGAAAGTGGGGGGCAGGCTCTGCCCCACCTCCCAGGCCCTGACCGCTCGACCCTGCTCGCCCTGAGACCTCAACTCCGGGGCCGCCACCTTGGAGCCAAAGGTCTCCGGCTTCTCCAGGCCGGCAGATGGATCCTCCTCTGCTTCAGAGAGGCTGGGACCGTGAGGGGACCCCTGGGCCCCGAGGCGCGGTCAGCCAGGCCACCCCCCTCCCCCAGCAGAACGCGCTCCCGCCGCACTATGCTAAGGGGCCGCTGCCTGTTTGCCCCCAGAAAAGGCGGAGCAGGTGAACACTTTGGGTTCGTTCCTGGAAACTCGCGCCAGCAGGCCAGCACCAGCAACGGCTCAGGAAGGAGGACACGGCAGCCCCGTGGCAGCGAGTCCGAGGCAGAGGCCGCTCCGTCCCACCCCAGCGCGCGGGCGGGGAGCTCACCTGCCGGGCTCTCGGAGCTGGGGACGTAGGACGAGGCCGGGACCGCGCTGGGTGTGGCAGGCAGGTAGCTCGTGGAGGGCAGTGCCGGCTCGCTGTTCAGGGACCCGAGTTTCTGGAACACAGAGTTTACAGTCCCTCCTGGAGGCGGGGGGTGGGGGGGGCGCCCAGGGCTGGCTCCAGCGTGAACCTCCACCCCCAACCCTGGGGCAGGACAGCGGGCTCCGCTCCCCTCAGGGCGGGGCTGCCCCCATCTGCTTAGGGAGCTTCTCAAAGCAGCCGCCGCCGCTCAGGAGAGAAGGTTGCTCGAGGTCCCCTCTTACCACAAAGCCAACGATAAAGGGAAGACTCCCTCGTTGTAGGAAATGAGGGAACAGCCCCGCAACAGGAAGACACTAAGCCACTACCCAGAAACCACCCTGGCCCCGGGGCCCTTCTCCAGCCCTAGCCCCGGGGCCGTGGGGACGAGACTCCCAAGCAGCAGGCCCTGTCTGGCCGCTGACCTCCCCAGTCACGGGCAGGCCTTGAGCCCCACACGCAGGGCCGACGGCCAGCGCCTGCCCGCCCGCCCTCCCTCCCTTGCACCTGCAAGGCCGGCACTGCCACCTCCGCCGGACAGAGGGGAAACCGAGGCACAGCAGTGAGGAGACTCGCCAAGGAGCCCCCCCCCCCCCGACAGAGCACACGCAGCATGCGTGCGCTCAACGCTACTGCGATGTCCTCCCCCTGCCCCGGTCGGGGCCTCCGGCCGGCGCTGCCACCCACAGGGCACGTCGTATGGCTAACCACCGGGACGAGGGCGCGCGCGCACGACGGCGCACGAGGGGCGGGGGGGGGGGGGCGGCAGGCGGGCCGTCAGGGACGCAGCCCCACCTGTGTGGACACCAGGCCAGCCGCGTAATCCGGGGTGGCGTTCTCCACCACGGTCTCCTCCTTGGCCGGCTTTTCCACCACTTCCGCATCTGCCAACAAAGCAGCGTCCTCGCCAGTGCCCCCGCCAGCGTGGCACCCCACGAGCGGGCCCCGGGGTGCGGGAGGGGCCCCGTCAGCGCGCGGCCCCAGCCGGCGGCCGGAAACACCTCGCTGAGCGTGCGCCTCAAACACAAGTCTCCAGGCAGAGCGCGCAGTGCGCTAGTTTCAGCGCAGCTCTGCCACGTGTGATCCCGGCCCCCCCCGGTAAGGACCATCTTGTCACAACACACAGGCCACCGGTGGCACGAGAAACACAGGACGGACTGGTCGGGGGCGCGGGCCCGGCCCCACGGACCCTGCAGGGAGCCCCGGTACGTACCCAGCGTCTTCCTCCTCCTCTTCGCCTCTCGGCCGGCGCCCACCATATCCAGCTCAGAGATGTCGAGCAGCTGCCAGAACAGACAGAAGCCCGCCCGTGACTGCCGTGTGAGCGGTGCCGGGCCGCTCTGCTGAGGCCGCAGAGAACAGAGGGGAAGTGCCCACCTTCACTCCCCTCTCCTTGCGCAGCGGCGTCCTCGAAGGCGGGATGGGGGTCCGGTTCCCGGCAGGGCTGAAGACACTGGGGGCGGTGGGACTGCGGAAGGGCGCCTGCTTCGGGATGCCTTTGAGCGGGGCTGCGGAGAGGACAGCGCCCATCGGTGGCTGCCTGAGGACGGGGCCGCCCCGCACGGCAGGACTGTGGGGAGTGGCTTGTCTCCTGCCCCTTCCACGCTGTTCCCCAAGAAGCAGAGGCCGCTCCGCCAGCCCCCTGGACGGGCGCGAGGCCCAGTGCCCTCCCTGCCCCCCACAAGCCTGTCAGATGCTCGGCAGGCATGACCCCGATTCAAACGGACTGGCTGGGTCTCTGAGGTGGTGGGGGTGACGTCACCAGGGCACCAGCGACCCCGGGCATTAGGGGGTGAGGGGCCACCTCTCCAGGGAGCCAAGCGCTCAGGCGTCAAGTCAAAGAGCAAGGCCACAGGAAGTGATGACATCACAGCCAATCTATGACATTTTTGCCAAAAACACCAAAAGAAGATCCATGCCTACAGCCACCCACCCTAACACACCAGGACTCTCAGCCTAGCTTCCTCCTTGCACCTCTCGGTGATGAGGCCCGTCCATGGCTAGATCCCCAAACGCTCTGCAGACAGAATCCCCCCCCCCCCCCCCCTCTGGTCCCCCCCCTGTCCCAACCGACCCGCCCGCCACCCCGGGACGGGGCCCCCCGCACAGGGCCTGTCCCCCTCCCCCGGCGTCTGGCGCCCCCCTCCGCCGCCTCCAGGACCCCATCTCAGTGCTCGAACGTGGACCCACGCTGCCATGCCACAGTGTGACGTGGGCGCAGGCACCGCCAGGACCAGAGGAGCACGCTGGACCTTGAACTGGATGCTGTGTCAAGGGCACAGTGACCACGCCACTGCCCTCAGGACCTCGCTGGGTGGGGCAGGCCCTACAGAACGAGGACCCCCCCCCCAGCCCAAGGCTTCCCTTTGGGCTCCGACAGGTGTGTGCATCTCTGATGACCCAGCTTCCCTGCTGTTCGGTCGGCCCTGGGCCCTGGGCCGTGGGAGAATGGCCATTCTGCCCTCTTTGGGTTTTCTGTCCAGTGCCTTCTGGGGACAAGCCCCAGGGCAACCGGATCTTCTGGTCACAGCATCTGTTCTGTTTGT